ACACCTCGGTCCACAAGTCGCTCTGTAGAAATAGTTTTGTCCCTTCCACTTGAGTGCATTTCAACCCGTTGTGACCTATTTTCAAAGTAACTGGCAAACCAATGGGTTGCGCTTCTACTAATTCCATAATAATATGATTTGGACAGAAGTAACAGAATCAAGAAGTGTTAAAATCGTGCCTTCCCCACTCGCTTGTGCAGTCAATATATCAGTGCTGTGCTTTTTACGGAAACCAGACTGCAGCTTGGGAAGGATATTATTTGATTCAAGGTATTCTGTTAGTTGATTACATGCAAGCTTTTCAATCACTTTAGAAAGGCACTTTAGCCTTTATAATATTATATATTACATATTATATATTATATTATACTAGTAAGGATTAGTAAGGATTAGTAAGGATATTAATATATTAACGGCTCTCTCTGATCATTCAAAATTTTAATAGCCTGCTCTAAACCAATAACCTTTTGCCAAGTTGTTCACTGCAAAATTATTTTTCTCTTAATAGTATAAGAGTTCTAACGTTTTTACCTTGATTCCAATATTTTCACTATTACTGAACTTCAATATTAACAACTATTATAACGACAAGCAGCACTAGTGGCTATATCAACGTTCGAGAACGCAGCCGAAATCCAAGTGATTGCTCTCTACGCGACCCTGTGTGCCTTCGCTCAAGTAGATAACGTCATATCCAGTATAGTGTTGCCAGCGACAACATTCGGCCGTTCTGCATCACGCCTTCGTCCTCGAATGGCGTTGTAGTCTGGTGAAAGTAACCTTCATACAATTAACACCTCACCCTGTGGCTTATTCCTCTCAACTGGGAAGCATATCGCCACGTTCAGAACACCTTACCCTGTGGCTTATCCCTCTTAACTGGGATGCATATCGCCACGTTCAGAACACCTTACCCTGTGGCTTATCCCTCTTAACTGGGATGCATATCGCCACGTTCAGAACACCTTACCCTGTGGCTTATCCCTCTCAACTGGGATGCATATCGCCACGTTCAGAACACCTTACCCTGTGGCTTATCCCTCTCAACTGGGATGTTCAGAACACTTTACCCTGTGGCTTATTTCTCACAACTGGGATGTATATCGCCACGTTCACAGTTTTCAATGATTTATCAAACTTTGGTAGCTTTACTGGTTACACCAGCCGTGTATCGCTACGTTGTTGAAGTACCAGTGATGGTGTTCACAATGGATATCCATCACCAGTTCATACCTTAAATCTTCCAACTACTAAAATGCTCGGTAGCTTAACCGGGTAAACCAATTGTGTATCGCTATTTTACTTTTTCTCAAATATGTTAAGTAATTCATTAACTGGAAGGTACTCACCAAAACTTTCGTTACATTTAACCAAAAGATTTTATCACCATTTCGTATAGTAAGTATTAAACACACTGTTTTTTACGAGGGTACCTACCCAAGAAGAAAATATGTCGCCCATTGTTTGAACAGCCAAACGCGAGTTTTCGTATCGAATCCCACTTCTGATACAGTGTTGCCAGCGCCAACAATAGGACCAACACTTTTGTACTACCTACTTTTTTACTATTTTACATTTACCTTTAATTCCAAATTAATTAACTAAACTGTTATCAATTGCATTTAATGTCTTCATTTAATGCACAGGCGATAAAATTTCAGTTATTTTTCTTCTGTTACTCTAAAGAAGTTCAACTTTTTACGTGCCTAAATAAGTACACATATAATTTTTTTTCATATCAGATATCATATTGACGGAAACAATCGAAGAAACGTAATAAAACAAGATTATGTGATGTCAATCCAGGTCCCCATTATATTGTTGCAGTACTTAAATGATGCTATGTTGATTTTCAGATGAAGCCTGGTGTTGATATCACAATTGTTTAGTATTTAACTATATTTCACATAATTTCTTAATTCTTCATTTCTCATTTCAATTTCAATTTCTCATTTATTTCATAATTCTAATTTCTTAACAATAAATTATAATAATATTTATTATAGCATAAGGACCCTCTCCGAGGCTGAAACACACCGATACCAGGCTATGTCTCAAAACATGTTGTACTCCTTATTATCCTTTCGCATCCTTACATTACGAACCTAACCTAAAACAAAACTCATAACGTCATCTGTTGGCCTATAAGAAGAGCTTTGGTGAGCGACGTCGACGCGACGTCAATGCTCCCGTTGCATAAGAAAAATCAATCAAAACAAATACATCGATAACGCCGCTACTGGTGTGCAGATTCAAATTTTAAAATTAAATTAAATACGTGTTAATGAGTGCATAGGGTCGACCCAGCTTAGTGCAAAGACTGAAAACATCACCTAGGTGTGGTCAAGGAAGACCGAAGCCTTCCACATTCTAGGACATCATCGAAGCTGATTCCCCTGGCCATTTACCGTGAGTTAACCTACTTCATTTATCCTTCCTGGTGAGCCAGACTAATTATTGTTTCTAATAAATTTTTAAGTAGTAAAGTGTTGTTATTACTTCTAAAAAAATACAATACGCGTATTTGCTACCACATGTGTATCGATGAGGTTGGCATGAAATAGTTTGTGCCTATATATATCAAATGCTAAAAAAAGAATGTAGAAGAATACGTTAAGATTTTCGTCGGTGTGGCAATCAGCCGTTTAGCTCAGTGGCTAGAGCGTCAGGCCGCGAATGCCGAAGACGTGGGTTCGATTCCCACAGCGACGACAATCTTTTCGCACTTTTTCTACATATTTTAATGTTCAATCTTAAGTGCAAAGATTAGCACTATAAACAATTTATAGCACCCTATACAACTACAACTGAGTGATTCAGACATTCAGAGATTTTTCATTCGTAGCCGCAACGTCGCATTACAAGTCTCTCCTTCTAACAGTATGTTTTATCACTTATAAATTCATTCAACCAATTCATTGTCTTTGTGACCTTTACAAATGAACTCTAGTAACAGTTTTATGCGTAAGGGTATTCTAAAATTATTTGTTTTGGAAAATTTAATAAATTGGTAAATATTGATGTTTAAAGAAAGTAAATGTTTAATACAATTTAAAAAAGTTATCATCTATATGTACGTTGATTTAAGGTCGCGTTATTAGCGCCACGTTGTATATATATGTTTATTTTTATTCATAGAAATAAAATATAAAAATAAATGAAACAATAAATAAATGTCTTCCATAATAATAATAATTATGACTGTTGTTTCAATTTGCATCACACTCGAGGCTTCTCAATGAAATCTAAAGACACCCAAAGAAATCCCCGTGATAATTGTCGCAATTCAGTCAAATGCATTGCAACAATTTTTCACTGCAAATTTAAGAAATTTACCAAGATATACTCATAGGGAGATAAACAATTGTAATTCCCAACATTAAACTTAGAGAATAATGCTTCGATTCGAAACTTTCAAACAATTAGCAATCGAAGGCAATATTTAAATGCAATGTAAGTTGCAAAGAGAGTTAACTAAAGAACCTCCACTATAAAATGAAAGTATTTCGAAACAAAGAAGGTGTAGCGGCGACATTGATGAATCGAGCGATGGTAATGAGGGTGCGACCGACGCCTGATGATAATTTGCTAGAAAGAAATGGCACCGTCACGAAACTATTGTTGTTGACAAAACGACGGAAGCTACGCTTACGCGGTCTTTGGCTCTGTTGGGTAATCACTATCCTAATCTAATCACTACCCTGTTGTGGTAATTAGGAAAGCAATCGCGATAACCATTTCCATCAAAGATTAATTTTAAGAACTTGCAGTTTATAATTTTACTATTGTAGTGTAGCAGCTTTAAGTAAGCAGGAACTGCTGGCCTTTCCGATGGGGTTAAGCAGAATCACGCATTTAAAAAAAAGTATGTAATTTTTTTTTCGGATATACAACAGTGAAGTAAGAAGAACGGCGTATACAAGAACAGTGAAGAAGCAAAATATAATCCTGAAAAACTTTGTGGAACCTCTTTCTCATACTATGTTCAATAACAGATACTGGGTACTCTAGCAAGATTCTGCGCCAGCTCATAGAAAAGCACGCTCCCTGGTGGCGCGTGAAATTGACTTCCTTCGACACGAAGGCTGGCCCTCCTTCAGTCCTGACTGAAATCTGTTACATCATAAAATATGGCACCAATTGGAGGAAAAGCCTGCTCGAAGCCTCATCCTGTTGTGGGAGTCACTTCAGGCATCCTTGATCAAAGCAGTCGCCTCGTTCCAGTCCAAATTAATATCGGCAGTGCTCCCCTGGGAAACAACTTTTTCTCGGTGTCCGGGCGCTCGCCTTTAATTCAATATACTCGAGCAACCTGAGTTCGATCCCCGGTGCCGGCACCAATGAAATTGTTATTTTTAAGTGCTGACTTATCGCACGTGCTCAGCGGTGAAGGAAAACATCGTGAGGAAACCTACATATTTTCGAAGTAATAACAAAAAATAAAAAAAATGTTTCAAAGATATGTGAAGTCCGCCAATCCTCAGTGGGGCCGCGTGGTGGACTATACCCTGATACCCTCTGTACAGAGGAAGCCTTTGCTCGGCAGTGAGTCATGTATAGGCTGATACTTTACTTTTACTTTTTACCAGATAGAAACTTCCACCGCTTTGACCACCAAGTCACGTGGTGACTGTTAATACAAACACGTATTAAATAGAATTGGTGAAGGTCATGGTCAAAATATGTTCGTCCAAATCAATAAATAGCTTGCAATAATGTTTAAAGATGATTATATTTTGAAATATTTCGATGGCCTTTCACATGCACGGGTACAATTTTTATGTTTCATTAGGTATTTCTGTGTTGAGTTTATTGGGACCAAGGAGGAGTTACAGATTAAAACAAAATGAATACTGGGTATCAATATTATATTATAATAATAATTAATTGGGTTGTAATAATAATTATTATTATTAATACAACCATTTAACTGCCTCGACGATAAATTTAGGACCCACATTATAAAATTCAAAAATGCAGCGTCTGGACTTGACTGATCGATGACGACACTAGGAAACAATTGCGCGTACAGGAAAAGTGAACAAAGCTCTGAAGGGGTTTCCCTAGCACGCGTGAGTCTGAGGGCGGAGCGCTGCGTACGTAGCGTTAGCGGCACAGCGGCATTAGAGAGATGCGGATTGGCGTCAGTGGTCAGTGGCGAACCGGCGCGCGCCCAGACAGTACACGAGCACGCCACACATCCGCCTTATAGCGGGTTGAATCGCGCGCGAACTGAACGCGCCGCACTTAGCCCCTTGGTGCTTTGAAAAGTCGCAGAGTTCGGATCGGTGATGAAGGGCCAGAGCAAGAGATTCGTGAGCCACAGCGGCGAGGCGTACGACATGGGTGAGCCCCGAAAGGGGCGGCCGAGCGACGACACCGTGGGCTTCTTTGGCTTGGTAAGTTTTATGAATCTTCTTACAATATAATGTACTTCTTCAAAAAAAATAACGCGTTATACAAATTCAATTTAATAAAAAAAATCTTGAATTAAATGAGTCTGTAGAATATATTTAAGCACCTATATATTGAAGCTGATGTCAAAGATGCGGTACTTATGACCAATAAATATATGCTAATGTAAAAAGTAAAATGTCACGCCTGCAGATTGATACTATTTTCACAAGGTTTTTTATAATTCGAACTTATGGCCTTTTTATCAAACATTGACTCCATCGAAGTGTTATTTTTATAAGTAACGTAGGTGTCACATAACGTGCGCGTGTCACCCGCCGTTTATTTGTGTGCGTGCAAATAGCCATGGCCGACGCGCCGTCACACATACGCGTTGAAATGCGTACTATTCATGAAAATATTTTGACATGTGGGTCCACGGTATCCCTTGGCACTGGTACCTGAGCGGAACGCGAGGGTGACATGCTATGCTCGCATCTTTTGTTTTGTCTCAATCTCTTACAATGACGTTCTGGAATCTTCGAAATTTGTTCGAACTTTGAAGGCATTTAGCTATAGGGCAAGCGGATGGCTAGCGTAACCTGTTGCCAAATCGATGATGAAGTAATCTACTGTAACGGTACTCTTTACGGTGTTAATCACGGGTGACACTTGTTTAATACAATAAAGTTTTTATTAATTTTTAAACAAGTGTCAGCCGGATAGGTTGTGGAGCGAAAGCTCATTACATTTTTTTTAATTAAAAAAACTGACTTTAAAATACTTTTATTTTTCTTTCTTTTGTAGAAAGTTAGCAACCACGTGCTCATTGCATTATCAATCAAATTTGTATTTCATTCAAGAAAAACACTTTCAAACTTTCTGCAAAATAGCGCTTCACGTCTAGTGCCATATCGGTGACGATAATGTTCTCACACAACCAAACCCAAAAATGACCTCGTCGAAAGCGATCTCGAACCTCAATCCCCCAGAACATCATGAGATTCTAGCTCTACTATCTGATTATACTCGACCTATACAAAAAAATATATGTCCGACACAATTCCACCACACCGTTTTTAGCATTTTAGACAGCTGCTAGTGAAATATGTATAATTAATTAAATTAGTTATTATTGTTTTTATATTTTAGTATTTATATATCAAGTGCTATGACCGGGATTTGCTTAATCACATCTGGAAAAGGGTCCTGCATACAATATGCTTTTGGTTTTAAAGTATGATTATTTTCGTATATATATATATATATATATATATATATATCTACATTCATATAAATACTACATTCATAAAATGGTATTCAGTACACTTCGTATGAAACACGTCGGACTTTACGCAAACAACTACTTAATTCTTATAAATCTAAATGAACAAATACATAAATAATGTCATCATTATATTTCCGGTGACGTACATGCTAATATCTCTACATTAAATAACAATAATCTGACCAGCCACAAATTGCCACCTTCGCTGATATCGGGAACACTGTTTGTAACATAAACTAATAAGCGGCCAATTAAGCATACAAAATATCCTTTAGTGTTTTTTTAATGTGATAATGTGGCAAATCAGCAGAGGGTACGGCTTGTGTTAAGCGATTACCGCAGCCCATAACCATCCAAAACACCGGTGGCGTTGCAATTGCATTTCCAACTTCTAAAGGTGTGGGCCACCGTTACTTCACTCGCAAGATGAAACGTAAACGCCCCAGAATAGCATGCACGTTCATGCAAACCAGACCACCATTTGGCCGATATTTTTAGATACGAAAAAAGAAATAGAACAAAACTTTATCCGAGACGAAATCAAGGACATTTCACCGAGCTTATTTATGTGCTATTGGTAAACAATTAATTTGTTCCAAAATGAAACATTTCCGTGTGATAGACATGTTACTGTTCTAATGTACTAAGGACTCACGAGTCAGTTGAACTATGGCGTGAGACATCTGTCTCAATAGAACTATCTAGTTATATCGGGTTATAACACTATTCCGTTTATTGTATTTTAATTGCTTCGCATCGACGCGTCTTTGGACTGTGTGATGCGTCTTGGGACGGTGGGTGCACGGTGCAAAATCTCACTCCATTTCAGTTTAATAAAATTCTAGCAATATTCATGACAATACTAATTAAAACAAAACGTTTAAATCGAATAGACTTATTAAACCTATCCAGCAAATGTTGAGAAAAAAAGCAATTACAGCAGTAATTCGTTGAGTGAAGTTTCGGTGTCTCTGTGTACAAGTTTCGGTAAAACGATAACAAAACGAAAGAAGCGATCGTTTGGCTTCAGGGAAGTCAACGAGTGTCCTTCAGAGCGTACATTCTCTTTAGTTTTTCCATGCAATGCCCCTCGCCGATGTCAGTCGCCGCGCGGGAAATGTCTGAAATTTGCACACAATAGTGTGTAAACTTAACACCATTAGGTTATCTCTACCAGTCCACGCATAAATAAATTGAGAAAATAAGGGGATACGAGAAAGCAAAATGAGAAGTAGTGAAAAATAATATGGTTTTGTGTAAAATATTACATACATGTATACATAGAATTTACACAGCTATTCTAATATTATATAATCTTTTTACCACTATCAATTTACTATAAATAATTCTCATTTATGTTCTACTTTTTTTGTTAAGTTACATAGGCTCATTATATCTCAAAATAGTACACCATATCAAGGTTTTTTTACTTCTACTTTCAGTGGTAAAACATGATTTCATACATGCAGTTCTAAAGTGACTTTGCACAACATTCTCCCGTAGGAAGGGGACGGTGGTAGGGCCACGCAGCAGCTTTTACTGTTGTACCAATGGGCAGGCTCGTCCAGCAAAGTACGGCATCGCAAAAGACCTGCGTGAAGTGAAATTATTATAATATCGCGTTTCATCTGGTGAACGAGTAACTTAAATCCTTTTTTAAAGATTAACACCGCATCTGCAATGCAGATTCTGCATGCCTTCAGGTGTTGTCGATCTCTATTGACGGCGGACATGATTTCATCTTATTTATCGCTTGCTCACGTGACATTTGTCCACATTAAAAAATCTACTGAACGAACGCCCGTAACGTTGTCCTGTATCGTTGTTAGCACGGTGCTAACAACGATATCTTGAATATGGTAAATATTCATTACCCAATTAGAGGGTAAGGATTGCCGTGAGATACTGATCTGAGATGCAGATCACTGTAAAGTTCTGTTGAGTGAACATCTTGTTTGTACCGCTTACTTGTCTCCAGACATACTTATTACTCGAGTTTTAGAATGAATTCAAGTTTTACCTACATTAAATTCGATTTATTGTTTGCGATGTCCTTTAGCAAACTTTTTTAAACTTTTTATAAGCTTTTCTTATCAAATTTGCCAAATATACGTTACAACAGGAAATGTGTGAGCAAGCCATAAACCTGCCTCGGTCGGTCGTCTCGTATCGAAGACGTCAAACCGGTTGCGGCTTCTGCGGCGTTCGGGCAACGAATTCCCAAAAAAAAGAATTAAATCTCTTTTTTGTAACGAACTGTGTACTGAACATGGTTTTTTACAAGTAAGTGTGAGGCTGTAAAACTATGTTTCATTGACTTGTATGAAATATCACTAGGGTAATTAGTGAAAGTCAGTTGAGATAGAGAGATAAGGATGACTAGATTCTTCTCTTTCTAATCAACTTGTCCGTGACAAAGCGACGAATCCATGTTTATATCGACAGTGTTTTAAATAAATCCGAAATAAGGAAGGCCGTTGATGTAACTTTAAGGCTTCGATGTCCCAGTCTAATGGTATACGACTTGCAAAGTCGTATACCATTTAAAAAAAAAAAATAACATGAGCGATATCTATTGTCTACAGTTTTCATACATCAAAGCCTCATAAACAAACCACAAAGCCCTGATCTCCATTGTGTCATATAATATTACAATCGTTTTATTCATAAATGGTCATAATATCATAGTTTATTGAACAACAAGTGGTTACTCACAGTTTGTGAAAAAGACATTATATGCAATTGACAACGGTTTAATTAAATATAACCAACTTCATCGTGTCACTTTTTGGCAGTCGGTGTGCGCACGCATCGTAAAAATTTTACTCACATATTTTTTTCCGATGCCGCCTGCTGATTGCGTGCAAATAAAATAATTATAATACATTTTGATTGTTCGTCTACCGCTAAAACCATAGGGTGTTGTTTTTTCTTATCTATGCAATGGTTCAAGTCATTAATGTAATACAACTTTAGTACTTGACGAAACAACAAATCTCCGCGTTGCGGCCACCGTTGAATGACGACGCTTGCCCGCGTCTTGAACTTGTCGCCCGCCTGCTCAGTACTCAATTGCTCATGTTCAAGTTATGTCAACTTATGTCACAGCCGCTATCGCATCGCACGCGCATGAGCATGCAAGCCGCGCGCGCCATACTTAATTTTAACTCTATTATAATTATGAATAGGTGTAATAAACACATTAATCGTATAATGGTAAAGTCAAAGATTTCAACTTAATATTAGGCCTTTGCTCTATGCAATTGATTCAGCAAAGTGAAAAATGTAATTCCCTCGCGATGGATGCGGATAGATTTTTGACCACAAATGGCTACGGCAACACAATTTGTGCAAACACTTTTGAAAACTTAAATATGACCTTGTGGGAATAAAAAAGGATGGATTTATTATTATCAGTATGGAAAATTATTATTAGTACAACTTAATACCTCTGTACTTAGAACTATATGATTATCATCACAGTAAATCTACGTGCGGAACGCAACTCTCTTTAGTGAGAGGACATTACCTGATTACAACATTTATTATTGTTCTAATCAGGAGTTAACAGATAATTGTATATATAGCTAGAGCCGTGATAGCTCAGTGTCCGGGCGCTCCCCTTTAATTCAATATACTCGAGCAACCTGAGTTCGACCCCCGGTGCCGGCACCAATGAAATTGTTAATATGAAGTGCCGAATTATCACGTGCTTAG